GTAGTTTCTTTGTCTAACTTAAGATCTTAGAAAAAAAAAAATATGTAGCGAAAAAACATGTTGGGAAGATGTAGAAAAAAAAAACATGTAGGGAAGATCTTTGTCTAACTTAAGATCTTAGAAAAAAAAAAAACATGTAGCAAAAAAACATGTTGGGAAGATCTAGAAAAAAAAACATGTGGGAAAGATGTAGAAAAAAAAAACATGTCATGTAGGAAAAAAAAACGTGCAGGGAAGATCTAGAAGAAAAAAAACATGTAGTTTCTTTATCCAACTAAGTAGGAGTTTGTGGCAACTTCCTATTGGAAAAGCTTGTTAAAGGGTGTGGATGATGAGAGTATTGAAAAAACTTAGTCATTGTATTGTAATATTAGTTTAAAATTATGAGTACTTAATTCAAGGTCAGACGCGCTAATTCACTGCGCTATGCGGTCATTTTTTAAAATTTTAAGTATATACTTTAATGTAAGTATATATTTTTATACTTTTACTTTTGAATTCCCACTTATCATACGGTGAAGGAAAGTATGAGGACTTGATGCATAATTGTGTGTTCACGTGCATCAAGATACTTCCCCATTATGATGAGTACAAACGCGAACACCATGAAACTAATTGTTACCATCATGTTTGCCATAATGCTACGACGTCTGTTATTCCCTTCGGGTGTGCAACAACAGTCCGTCAGCGAGTGCTAGCCCGACTAGTAGATCTAGGAGGCGTGCGAGCCCACTGGTGGGCCTACATTCACACGTATGGGCCATATGTAGAGAAATATTACACATCTAATTTAGCCCAAATTAGAAAGTCGCCTAAGAGAATGAAATGATGTTTTAAATGATAGGTCCCACCGTGTTGCATGTGACTTCATTTCATAACCCTAATAGTTGGGTCACTTAGAACTAATTCTTAAAATACTCAAGTCATGCGCTACTCTTTCCTTTCAGGTAAAAGTAGTAACCTCTGTACAGATAACAATAGCATCGCGTCGAAGACCATAGAACTTGTGGTAGGATAAGTTATATTTTATTTGTTTTGTAGTCCTTAAGTTAGATTAGGTCATCGTTTTAATCCTTTTTTGTTTTATATAAATTTCATGTTGTTTTATTTTAAGGTTTTATTGCGAATATTTAATATACGTTCACGCGCTTATCCACTACACTATGTGGTCATATATAAAAATTTATGCATATACTTTAATATAAATATATATTTTATGAAATTTACACCATTTTTTTAATCTCTAATTTAGTTTAAATTTAAAAAAAATTTGTCCATTTGGTAGCATTCTAAATCACTCCATCGATCTTTTCCTTTTGTCAAGGGAATATTCTTACACTATATTCCATCCATTTCAACTTTGTAGGAACATTTTCTACTCCAAAATATTTTCCAGGTGAAATTTTCATACAATTCTATCCTTTTTAAACTTTTTTCATTCATGATGTTATTATTTTTTTTATTCATGATGAGTATGGATGCGTACACTATAATGGTCAAGATGATGATCATGCCTCACATGATACTTAAAGGTTTTCTAACCTCCGGACGTCCAGCTACGAACAATTAGCCCGACTATGATTGTTCTAGGGGGCATGTGAACCACCTAGGGACTTACGCTCGCAAGTGTTGGTCGTGTGTAGGAAAGTACTACACATCCGATTGTATTCAGATTGGAGGTCACCCATATGATGGTTTTAACGATAGGTCCCTAAGCATGAATTGCATGTGTTTTCAATTCTTGACCCTAATATTGGGGTCACTAGTATTTTTTAAAATACTCAAAGCGGTGTGCTAGTTCTATTTCTGGTAAAGGTAAGGCAACTAGTACGACGACAACATCATAAGTAAAGACCATGGAACTTGCATAAGATAGTGGTATTTCATTTCTTAGACTTTAAGTTAATATAGGGCATTTTTACTTTTAATGTTTATTTATTTTATTTAGTATTTGGTTATATTGTTAAAGATATTTTTGAACATGTAAGTTTATGACAGTGTTTTATGATGAAGTTTTAAATGTTTATTTATGCATAAGAGAGTATGTTATGATGACGGTAACGACTTTCGGTTTGTAGAAATCTACGATCATTACAGTTGGTATCAAAGCTCTAGGTTATAGATTCTTTAGACTAGCGATAGGTTTGACATGTTTCATGGTCCCACTGTTGATGCCCCGTCAGCGTCAGATATGTCATGCATAAGATAAGAAAAGGAAATATCGTTGATTGCATACGTTGTTACTGTTCGGTCATTATTAAATATAACTCATAATCGAATTTTGACACCATTGACTATAGTTGACTGCATTATTGTTGACATAATTCTATATTTATTCTAATATAAGGTATGATATGATTTACCTGACATGGATATGAAGTTAATTCATATATTGATAGTGTTTAGATTTAGTAATTCATATATTGATAGTGTTTAGATTTAGTAAGGTTTGTACCATAAATCCAAGCTATAGTGTATTTGCATGTAAATGATTTTGCTAAGGATGGTTGAAGTCTACTAAAACAATTCTTAATTAAATTATGACAATATTTTATGATGAAGTTTTAAATGTTTATTTTCGCACAAGAGAATATGTTATGATGATGGTAGCGACTTTAGGTTAGTAGAAATCTAAACTCGTTAACACTTTAGACATTAATCTCAACTGTCGATTCTTACGAAAGAATAAAACCATATTCATTTGATTCAAATAAATGAAGTTTTGATTAAGAGAGTGTGAATAAAAGCAATTTTAATTTCCTTGAGTGTTGGGATGTCTCGGTATATTTCCTTAACTTACCAACAAAGGTGTACATCTCAAGTTAAAATGATTTTTATTAGACACTAATTGACAAATAAAAAAATATAATATACAATATGGTGTTTAAACTAGAAAAATCCAATCACGAGTTCAAATAAATGAAAACTTTATAAATAAGGTTGGTTGATAACTAAATTACCGTCCTAAAGTTATACAAACATAAAATTATTTTATTTTTATTTAATTTCATATTTATTTTTATTTTTTATTTTCCAAAAACTCTTTAAAATAATTTGTAACGAATACGCATTTGCTATACAAAAATGTTAAAAGAAATGTATACAAAAAAATCGAACTTTTAATAAAAAAAATAGTTAAGAATTATAAATTTTAATATATATATATATATAAATAAAAAAAATATATACTTTTATTGTCAGTAGAGTAAACCTTTAATATAAGACTACCATTCAACTTTCAAATATTTCACTAATACTCTTATTTTTTTATTTAAAAAAAAAACAGTTCAAGAATACTCTTAAATAGGTTTTAAAATAATTAAAAATAAATACTCTTGGATCACTTTCCTCTTCAATATTCTCCGTAACTCTCTCATTTGCGAAGATTTCCCAACATGAATATAATAAAATTCAGCACTCAAATAGACTTTATTTTCAATCTTACTCTATCCCAATTCAATATTTTTACAGAAATTGGATATTTGAGAATATTAATACTTTTGAACGTTCGTGAGTATTTTTAAAATAATATTAACAATTACGTCCATATACTTAAAAGGATACTTTTAAACTTTTGTTAAAAATAATTAGGGGTATTAATGAAATTTAGAAAGTTTAGACGGATATTTTTGAATTTTTAGGGAGAAAATAAAAATTTCCTATAAATGTTTAGCATCATTGGTTCAATGAAAACATGGTGGACCCAATATAACTCGGTCATGTCTGTTTTGAAGAGTCAACAAAGATATCATAGGAACACGTCTGCTCCATTTTGAGTCAACAAAGATATCATAGGAACACATCCTGACCAATTTTGAGTCAACAAAGATATCATAGGAATACATCCTACCATGGTCAAACTCGTCCTGACCCATTTTGAGTCAACAAAGATATCATAGGAATACATCCTACCATGGTCAAACTCGTCCTGACCCATTTTGAGTCAACAAAGATATCATAGGAATACATCCTACCATGGTCAAACTCGTCCTGACCCATTTTGAGTCAACAAAGATATCATAGGAATACATCCTACCATGGTCAAACTCGTCCTGACCCATTTTGAGTCAACAAAGATATCATAGGAATACATCCTACCATGGTCAAACTCGTCCTGACCCATTTTGAGTCAACAAAGATATCATAGGAATACATCCTACCATGGTCAAACTCGTCCTGACCCATTTTGAGTCAACAAAGATATCATAGGAATACATCCTACCATGGTCAAACTCGTCCTGACCCATTTTGAGTCAACAAAGATATCATAGGAATACATCCTACCATGGTCAAACTCGTCCTGACCCATTTTGAGTCAACAAAGATATCATAGGAATACATCCTACCATGGTCAAACTCGTCCTGACCCATTTTGAGTCAACAAAGATATCATAGGAATACATCCTACCATGGTCAAACTCGTCCTGACCCATTTTGAGTCAACAAAGATATCATAGGAATACATCCTACCATGGTCAAACTCGTCCTGACCCATTTTGAGTCAACAAAGATATCATAGGAATACATCCTACCATGGTCAAACTCGTCCTGACCCATTTTGAGTCAACAAAGATATCATAGGAATACATCCTGTCTCACCCATTTTTGAGTCAACAAAGATATCATAGGAATACATCCTACCATGGTCAAACTCGTTGCTCCATTTTGAGTCAATAAAGATATCATAGGAACACATCCTGCCTGACCCATTTTGAGTCAATAAAGATATTATAGGAACACATCCTGCCTGACCCATTTTGAGTCAATAAAAATATCATAGGAACACATCCTGCCTGACCCATTTTGAGTCAATAAAAATATCATAGGAACACATCCTGCCTGACCCATTTTGAGTCAATAAAGATATCATAGGAACACAACTCGTTGCTCCATAGGAATACATCCTACCATGGTCAAACTCGTTATTCTCCATTTTTAGGCTTTTTGTAGTGTGCCCAAAATCAAATGTTATTCTCCAAATGAATGCCAAAGTTTTAGGTTGACTACAATAATGGGAGTCGAACCCATGACCTTCTAATCCGAAGTCAAACGCGCTAATCCACTGCGCTATGCAGTCATTTTTTAAAGTATTCCGACATAAGTTATTTCGAATTTGTTCTCACTTGTGTCAAACGGGTCAAAAATATAATAATAAGTCATTTATATTGAGCGGTAGGTATCAGGTTGGACTACGGGTTATCGGATTGCTTCTCGAGCATGCGGGTCAAATGTGGTCCGGGTCGTTGATTTGGGTTAGTCGCGGTGCCACGTGTCAGTGCTCAAAGTAAGCCAAGTTTTTCCACTACCTGCCTAACACATGTCCCTCCAGTTGCTAGATGCGTTTCTCCTCTTTCTAGTCCCCGTGTGTTCGTCGCCAATTGCCTGAAACCCATTTTTTTTAGATTCCGGTCAAAACCGCATATCAATCTTTTTTTTTTCTATCTTCCAATTCGTAACTTGAATTAACTCGATTCCTACCCAAAAATTCAAGACCTTAAGTCCACCCATACATATATATTTTTCTTGCATTTTTTTCGGTACGCACAATGCGTAATAAATGAGTTCAAAAATCATAAAAACAAAGTTTCTTGCCAAAGTTTGAGATTCTGGGTTTCAATTTTCGACATACTTTTTGGCTATGTTTTCTCCCAAAACATGCAAGAATCCTCGCCTAAAATACTATAGTTGAGTATTATTTCCTAAACTATTAAAAAAAATGCATGGATCTAGGGCAAAATCTTGAAGCAAAAGAGGTCACAAACTTACCTCGCATTCTTACCTATTTCTTGACGAAAACGAACGATCCAAAAACAAAAACATACTCTTAGACCAACAATACTTCGACGTTCAGATTTAAGCATTGTACCCTCATTTCTCTTCTTTTTCTTTAAAACGTTAACTCTTCGCCTTTTCTCTCCTTTTTTATTTCTTTTCTTTTCATTTACTTGAAATCCCCTCGAGATGGTGTGTGGTGCAAAATTACCTTTTTATTTCCAGTTGACTTTGATCCAAATTTTCCATAAAATCACCATTTTTTAAAATTTTCCTAAGCTCCTTAAGGTGTCTTGAACATTTTTACTTCGACATCAGTTTGAAAATCACGCTCTAAGGCTTCCAATAAAATCTAGGAACCCGTAAAAGTTAGGAGGAAGCTTGTCATAAAGAAGGGTGAGTTTGTACCTGTTGGGATCGAGGTGTTACAACTTTCCCCTCCTTAGGAACTTTCGTCAACAAAAGTTGGCTATTCCTGAACAAGTTCGGGGTAAGACTTTCTAACGTCATCCTCACATTCCCAAGTAGCTTCACTATTCAGATGGTTACCCCACAAGACTTTGACAAGGGGAATCTCCTTGTTTCGCAATCGCTTGATATCTCAAGCTAAAATTTGGAGTAGGACCTCTTCGCATGATAGATCCTCTTAAAGCGGGAGCGTTTCGTATTTAATGATGTGGGTGGGGTCCGGTGTGTATTTCCTTAACATGGATACATGGAAAACGTTGTGAACGACAACAAGAGTGGGTGGCAACGCTAACCTGTATGCCACAACACCAATCCTCTCAAGGATCTCAAAGGGACCTATGAACTTGGTGTTAGGATCGCACAACAACGCACACACTCGATCTAGATGACACAAAGAACAGGATAGAGAAAATGCAAGGAGAACTCTGACTTACGAATTTATATTGATGACTTCAAGTATGTACAGTAAGAGAATACAGGGGATACAGAAGGTACATTTTCAAAGCTCTAGATATATATGGCTTAGTTTACTATATATAGCTTTACCAGATTTAACCATCTACTATACATAGCTATTTACCATATATGGCTTTACTATGTATAACCGTTGACCAAGCTATAAATAAGTATCAGGCTCCATAACCTAACAATTCTCCCACTTGGAGACCGATCTAGTCAACCAAGAATTTAATTCTCAAACGATCATTACACCATATCAATTAAGGCTTTGCATAACCTCAATTTTCCAACATCAACACATTTTGTCAACATGCCTGCCGCATTCTTTGCACCCTCTATCTTCTCCAAACACATATCACCTTCTTCCACTAACCTACGAGTGAAATAGTATCGTCTTCTAATGTGTTTTGTCCTTGAATGATAGACTGAGTTTTTCACCAACTGTATGGCACTCTGACTATCTGTATAAAGAATCTTCTTGCACTACTTCATACCTAATTCTTCTAGATAGTCTGTCATCCATATCATCTCCTTTCCAACTTTAGCTATTGACACGTACTTAGCCTCAGTAGATGAAAGAGCAACGCATTTCGAAAGCTTAGGCATCCAACTCACTACTGTTCCATCTATAGTGTAGATATATCCAGATGTGCTCTTGCTAGAGTCTACATCTCCACTCAGACCAGCATCCATAAAACTTTGCAAAATTACTTTGTCATTGTCATAACAGAGTGAAGTATTGGATGTACCTCTCAGAAATCTCAGAAGTCACTTCACAACTTCCCAATGTTATTTCTCTGGATTTTCCATGCACTTGCTAACAACTCCCACTGCGTTATATTAGGTATAGTGCAAACCATAGCATACATCAAGCTCCCAACTGCAGAAGCATACGGAACTGATGTCATGTGCTCACCTTCCTTAATTGTCTTGGGAGATTGCCCCTTTTACAATTTAATATGATTTTTTCCAAGAGGGTAGTCCTAGGTTTAGCATCATTCATCTTGAATTTGGACAACACCTTCTTAATGTACTGCTCTTGGTATAGATTTAATGTGCCAGCAGATCTATCTCGAGAAATCCTCATCCCAAGAATCTGCTTCACTGCACCCAAAATCTTTCATCTCAAATACTGAAGACAGGCTTGCCTTCAGGTGATTTATCACCCTCATACTTGATCCAGGAATCAGTATATCATCTACATACAGAAGTAGAAACACATAAGAATCAGTGTATTTTTTGAGGTAACAACACTAATTCTTTTCACTCCTATGGAAACCACTCTAGCACATGAAGAAGTCAAACTTCTTGTACCATTGTCTCGGTGGTTGTTTCAGTCCATACAAGCTCTTATTGAGCTTACACACCATGTGCTCCTTGTCTGGAGCTACAAACCTCTGGTTGTTGCATATAGATCTCCTCATCTAGATCTCTATGTAAAAACGCCATTTTTACATCTATTTGCTCAATGTGCAAATTCTCCGATGCAACAATACTCAGCAGAATTCGGATAGTAGTTAATTTCAAAACAGGAGAAAAGATCTCAGCATAATCAATACATTTTCTTTGTGAATATCCTTTAACTACTAACCGAGCCGCCATCTGGTTCAGCCTTGATTCTGAACACCCATTTATTCAATTGAGCTCTCTTTCTTGTAGGTAACTCAGTCAGCACCCATGTATTATTCTTTTCAAGTGAGCTCATCTCATCATCCATGACTTGCTCCCACTTGGTTAAATCTTCCACTTGTAGGGCCTCATAAAAAAACTCTGGTTCTCCTTCGTCAGTCAACAACAGATAATGTAATGAGGGTGAATATCTATCTGGTGCTCTGATAGTTTTGGATAATCTCCTCAACATCTGCTCAGGTGTAACTTGCTCCATGTCTGGTTCATCAGCAACAGGATCAGGAGTTCCTTGAGCTTTTGTTGTAACATCACTGGGTGATTTTCTTGCCACTCAAGCTCAACTCCCACTTGCTTCATAGTCTTAAAATTTATATTCTCATTGTTCTCGTATAGGACATTTTCATCAAAGGTCACACCACAATGTCTTGGGATTTTCCTATTCTTGTTATCCCAAAACCTGTACCCGAACATGTCAGGGTCATAGCCTATAAAGTAGCACTTCACAGTCTTAGTATCAAGCTTGTCTCTCTTCTCTGGATTAACAGTACAACAAAAAATTCTCAAGTGAGAGTACTTGAATTCTTTTCCTGTCCATACTTCTTCTAGAAATTTGAACTTCAAGGGTACTGACGGCCCTCTATTAATCAAATATGCTACTGTGTTCACAACATCAGCCCAGAATATCTTTGGTAGTCCATAATGAATCCTCATGTTTCTTGCTCGCTCATTCAATCTGTTCATCCTTTCTGCAATAACATTTTGTCTTGCCTTATCGGGAATTGTTCTTATTAATCTAATTTCCTTAGCTACACAAAATGTTTTAAACTCTGATTTCTTGTACTCTCCTCCATTGTCAGACCTCGGACATTTGATCTTCAAGCCAGTTTGATTTTCAACTTCAGTTTTCCACTTCTTGAAGGTGGCAAACACATCTGACTTGAGTTTCAGAAAGTAAACTCATACCTTCCTCCTGAAATCATCGATGAAGGTGATGTAGTATCTTGATCCACCAAGTAATGAAACTGAAGATGGTCCCTAGATGTCTGTATGGACAACTTCCAACCACACTTTCTTTGGTTCTCAGACAGCCTTTGCGAAACTAACTCATTTCTGTTTGTCCACAACACAGATCTCAGAAAGACCCATATCAACAGATTTTAAGTCTTCTAAAGCTTCTTTCGCAGTCAGCATCTTCCACTCATGTGTCCCAGTCTATTGTGCCATAGACTTGAATTGGAAGCACTCTCAACAGCAGCCATGTTTATGCACTCTGCAGTAGTGTATAGGGTTCCAGATTTTGTGCCACGTGCAACAACCATGGCACCATTCGCAATCTTCCACGAATTCTTTCCAAACTCTGCTGCATAGCCTGTGCTATCCAATTGACCAATAGAGATCAGGTTCTTCATAAGACCAAGAATGTATATGATATCTTGTAATGTTCACTGATTTCCTGCTGGAGTTTATATAAAGACATCTTCCTTCCCTTCAATCCCCAAGGTTTTGTTGTCGACAAGATACACCTTCTCAAAATTTCGAAACAATTTCTTACTTGAAGACAAATGGAACGATGCACCCGAATCCAAAATTCAATATTCAAATGGGCTGTCCATACTAAGGATTAAAGCGTCCTCACTATCTTTTATTGTATATATAGAATCCTCATCATCTTCAGACTTATGATTCTGCTTCTTCTTCAGTTTTGTACAATCTGTCTCATCAAAGGACTCTAGTTCTCCTTCGTCAGTC